CACGCATGCCAGGCGAGCGCGCCACCGCTTGAGCCACATCCCCAGCCCTAAAAATATTTTTTATGTATATTTTTTAGTTGTAGATGAACACACAGTATCTTTATTTATTTTTATGTGGTGCTGAGGATTGAACTCAGTGCCTCACGCATTTAGACTTTTAACACAGAAAATTAATTTCAACTTTTAAATTATGTTATTTAATTATTTATTTTGATGCTAGGGATTAAATTCAGGGGTATTGTACCACATAGAGTGTCCCAGTCTGTTTTATTTCTTATTTTAAGACAGGGTCTCATTAAGTTACTGAAGCTGGCCTTGAACTTGCAATCCCCTTTCTGAGCCTCCCAAATCATGGCGCCTGATTAACTTGTATCCATTAGAGATAGAAAACAAGTAAGMATCTGGTTATGGTGGTGTATGCCTGTAATCCCAGCTATTCTGGAGATTGAGGCAAGAGAATTGAAAGTCAAGGCCCACSTGGGCAATTTGGCTAGACCCTGTCTTAAAAAATAGAAAAGGCTGGGGATATGACTCAACAGTAGAGGATCCCTGGGTTCAATCCCCTGTACCGCACAAAAAAAGAAAAGAAAAATATAAGTAACCAAAAGTTCTGAATTTTATTTGTTGGACTTCTTTTGATTTCATAAACCTGTGTCATCTCTGTGTAAGATATCAACACCTTTTAAAATAGAGTGGTGCTTCTTTTGTAGGAATAAGATCCTAAGAAATCTGATAATTTAAAATCTCAAGCAGCTCAAAAGAGCACACATTTCCACTGCTTTTTGACAGTGTTAACACAGCTGTCCTAAAGAACCAATACTAAAGATGTTTTGCTGACCTCTTTTGGACTAAAGCTTTTCAGAATTTTATTTTAGCCCAGAGTTTTATATTATTCCCAGAAAGCATCCATCAGGCATATAATTGTTGAACCCTTAGCTGTGTGATTATTAAAGTATTAAATTATTTAGGATATCATAATTTTAAAATAGACAAATCAGTGAGAAATGGAGGAGTAAGAAACAGCTTTCAGGATAAAACATGTCCTACTATTCTAGTCACCTCTAATACCTGCTCCTCTCATACGTGGAAGCTTTGTTCTAGGGCCTTGAGTGATAAAACAATATTCTTTTGTCTTTGGTAGCTTCTAGGATATATCCTTATAGTGAACGAGACCCTTGCATTTGAAGAGTGATGGCTAAAAAACGTTTAGAAATTGATGGCTTACTGATTGGTTAGTTATGACCCGTTTACCTCACCTTGGTTTCCTTGTCTTTAAACAACAGGTTAAATCAAATGGCTCTGAGATTCCTTCTGGCCCTGGAGGCTTAGCTCACGCGTCCCCATGATAAAAGCTTTCAGTTTCGAGGAATGCACATTTGAGTGGATTTTGTCATCTCTTAAGATTGAGAGGAGGCCCATGTTATGCACCCTTGGTATTGTCTGGAAGTTCTCTGCTCCTTCTGTTCATCTGTCCGCTTGCTCCTCCCTCCCACCCACCTACACACCCGGCACTTTATTCTATTTCTGGAAGTAAGTACCGGGGTTCATTTTCCACCTCCTCCTCCAGCCCTGATTTTATACAAGAGTGTCCACAGTATTTCTTATTCTTATGTGTTTGAACTTAATTTTTAAAATACTTTTATTTATTTTTATGTAGTGCTGAGGATCAAACCTATTGCTTTCACATGCTAGGTGAACGCTCTACCACTGAGCTACAACTGCAGCCCTGAACTTAATTTTTTTAACAGTTGGTAATCAGTTTATTAAAATAGTTGATTTAGGCATCTGCAGTGGTGACTTCAGCTTGGCTCAGTACCTATAGTTGTAATCTATTTAATAATCTAAGAAGGACTGTGCAAGCCAGTGAGTTACTAGTGAATTCTCATCTGAAATCAATCCTGTGTCTTAGACTCTTCACCACAAGGTGTTTTTCTTTTAGTGATTCTCAAAAGTCTTGGTACACATGCCCATGGATCTTTTCACCTTGAGACTTCTTTTGCTCCTCTGATAGGTCTTCTCTAGAGACTGCACCTTGCAGCTTGTGAGGGTAATTCTAATTTGGTAAAACACCACCTCTTTGGTATATCTACCAGTGTAGATTTTTGAGTTACCTTTAAAAACTGTGGCTAGCTATATGTGGTGGCATAGTGGCTCAGGAGACTGAGGCAGGAGGATTGCAAGTTCAAAGTCAGTCTCAACAACTTAGTAAGGCCCTAAGCAATTTAGGGAGACTCGAAATAAAAAATAAAATGGGCTGGGATGTGGCTCAGTGGTTAAGAGCCCCTGAATTCAATCCCAGGTACCAAAAATTTAAAAAWTTTTTAAAAATAAAAGCTGCAGCTGTGGTGTGACTTCCTGTCTTGTTCCTCAGACTAGAGAGAACAGCAATGAGTCAGGAGCAGGAGCAGGCGGAACAGAGCTCTGCTCCACCCACAACTGCAATGTCCTCAGAAAGCTTAAACTTAAAACTTCAGGCCTTGGTGACATTTCTGCCTGCGCAGTGGCACAAGCCTGTAATCCCAGTGGCTTGGGAGGATGAGACAGGAGGATTGTGAATTCAAAGCCAGCCTCAGCAATGGCAAGGCACTTAGCAATTCAGTGAGATTCTGTTTCTAAATAAAATACAAAATAGGACCAGGAATGTGTCTCTGTGGTCAAGTGTCCCTGGTACCAAAAAAAAAAAAAAAAGACATTTCTCTTCTTTTTTCTGCAGTCCTCTTGTCTTACTCTCCTGAGTTCCTGAGACTATTGGGCTGTATCACTTAACCTGGTTTCCAGTCCCTTTAAAAATGATGAAAAGCTAGGTACACTGATGACCCTGTAGTTACAGCACTTTGGAAGCTGAGGTGGGAGGATCAGTTGACCCCAGGAATTGGAGACCAGCCTGGACAATGTAGTGACACTCCATGTCCAAAAAAAAAAAAAAAAAGCCAAATTCTTGGAGAAGGACTAGCTGGCTTCTCTGGGATCCTGTGGTTTGAATTTCTCCAAATCCAAATTGAGGTCATTCTTCTGTGAACTTGGCTTCCAAAAGATGCTTCCTTTTAAAATTTTTTATGGTACTGGGGATTGAACCCAAGGGCATTTGGTCACTGAGTTACATCCCCAGTCTTATTTTGTATTTTATTTAGAGAGAGCGTCTCACTGAGTTGCTTAGTGCCTCACTATTGCTGAGGCTGGCTTTGAACTTACAGTCCTCCTGCCTCATCCTCCTGATCCACTGGGATTACAGGCATCCACAACCTCTCCTAGCCTTAGTATGCTTCTTAAAGTCCTAGTTTCAAAGCCTTTGAGCTTGGTTTCTTATGAATAATTAAAATGACTATAATTTGAAAGCTAACCATAGTTGTTGGGGACGTTGACTGGTGAGTTTTTTATGTGACCTCATAATTGTGGCTCAATACCTGGTCTCTCAATGAAGATGACTCATTTAAAAAGGCAGACTTCCCTTTGTTGAACTGTCTGCATGCTTAATAAACAAGTTGAAATGTGATTGTTGCTCAGTAACTGTATGTGCACATTTAAGCCAGTGCAAGGAAAATGGAATTAGCTTGGATTTTAGTTTGGGTCTTAAAAGAGTTTGCCAGGCAGTAGTACTGGTGATGCATGAAACAAAACAAAAGTGCAGCCCAGGATCCTTGCATAAAGATGGGATCCATGGGGTTGGGGCTGTAGCTCAGTGGTAGAGTGCTTGCCCTCGCAAGTGTGAACACTGAGTTCCATCCTCAGCACCACATAAAAATAAATAAAGATATTGTGTCCATCTACAACTAAAAAATATTTTTTAAAAAATGAGGTCCATGACATGACCACTGCACAGAATTTATCTTCAATGAATAACCAAGAACAAAGGCATGAAAAAGTAATTTTAAAAGTGATTTTCTGCATTTGTAAAGACTTCTGAAATTGGGAAGAATTCATATCTTCTATTTCCCTCATGTAAAATCTTGTTTAATAAGTATCTGATTGGTTAATATGCAGCACTTCTTTACCATAGAATGTAAAAATGGTTGTTAGGGTGATTTATGTGCAAATTCATGTACAAATATTTCATTCCATAAACTGATATAAAGACTAGTAAGTTGTATCTAATAGAAGTGGGATATTTCACTGTCTCCTAACATCAATGGTGTGTGTGTGTTCTTGGATGGAAGGTAGGACTTCGTGCATGGTAGGCCAGCAGTCTGCCACTGAGCTGTATTCCTGCCTTCTTTTCTTTTCTATCTGACACCCCCGCCACACACACTTTTTTTTTTTTTTTTAAGTACTAAGGATTGAACCTAGGGGCACTCCACAACTGAGCTATATTCCCAGCAATTTGGGGTGGGGGTAGGGTCTTATGGGAAAGGGTACAAGGTCCTAGGTTCAATCCCCATAAGTTAACCTAGGCTGGCTTTGAACTTGGCAGTCCTTTTGCCCCAGCTTCCCAAAGTGCTGTAATTACAGGATTTTGCCACCATACCAGTCGCTAGCCCTTTTTATTTTTGAGACAGGGTGTACCATAAGATGCTGTGGCTGGCCTAAAACTTGTAAACCTCCTGCCTCATCCTCCCAAGTAGCGAGGGGATTATTTGGGTATGAGCCATCATGCCTGGCCATCAACTGGCTTTTAAACCATATAATATAGTCCACTTAGTCCTGGGACTGAAGTGAGAATATCTCTGGTATAAGAAGACCACATAGTTGTGATAGGCCACAATTGGTCCTGTGTGTGACTAAAAAAAAAAAAAAATTTGAATAATTAAGAGGAAAAAGTAATTTCAGACTGTGAATGACGATGGTTCCCATTCTTTGCCCTGGGCTTAGGGGTTTTGCTGAGCATCTGGTTTTAAGGAGTTCACCTTATTCCTTCTCTGAATGTTCTGGGTCTTTCTTCTGTGTCTCATTAATTCAATTCTTATCAGGTGCACTTACGTCCGGATTTTGTGACCTTACTCTTGGACCAAGTGAACCTCCAGTCTTTACTGTTCCTGACTTCACAATTTTTTTCTCATCACTCTAAATTCTATATGCCAAGAAAAGGAAGAGATAATTTTAAAGACATTCTACAAAAGCAGATGGCAAGGGCTGGTAGAGCCCTTGCCTCTCATGTGCCAAGCCCTGGGTTCAATCCCCAGCACAGCAAACAAAAAGGAAGTGGCAGGGCATGGTTACAGATTTCCTTCTCTATAAAACAGAATAAGAGTGTAGCCCATGATCCTTACACACACACATGCAGTAGCACTTACTGTTAGTTGACATTAATTTTTCAAATAACACTAAGGCATTTTTTGAGACTCTGAAGTCATCCTGAATTATAAATGGTATTTACCTTAATGTTAATGGAAAATGTATTTTATAATGTTTAAATTCTTTGACAGTTGATTATTATGAATGTATAGAGGTATATTCCCTGCCCTAATTTTCACTTTTGAATGTGGCTAAAAAACTGTTCTTGCTGCATCATGCTGAGGGAAAGTAGCATAAGAGCATCCCCTTTACCACATTCATAAACATACACGTTGGATGTGATCTCTCCATGGAAGGAGAAGCTGGGTATTGCTGCTATTGCTTAATTTTCTTAAGATTCCTAATGCCAGGGTTTGTCAGTTGTCACTCTGTGTAAGCCATTTGATTCTGTCCTCAAGCCTGCAGGCCTGATTTAGGCATTTCTCCTGACTATTTTGGACACAGATTGCTACAATGTTAAACTGCCCTTTTTCCTCATCCCTTTCTCTCTTTTCCATGCTGCCTTGTGCTTTAGGTCCAGTTGGAGAAGCTTAATGCATTTGGGGAAGAAAGGCAAAGCATTCCAAAAAGATTTCAACTGCCTTTTTTCAGTCTTCCTTTTAAATTCAGGACCCCAAGGAAGCTGTAGTAGTGTGAATACTCCATTGACAATTATTATTTGTCTCTGGTACCATCAGCCTGGCAATCTAAGGAAAGTAAACACATAAAATAAAAGCAAAATGGAAAATGGCCTTTGAAACAAATAGGGCATGCCTCGCACATGCCTCCTCCCTGGGAGGCTGAGGATTGGGAGTGGGAAGGAGAGCTGTGCTTGCCAGTGTCCTCCAAATGCCCCTTCTGGGAGCTGGATTCTCCAGGCTGCTTTTGAAGCCAACAGGCTTGATTAAGGAAGGTCTGTTCCACAGAAAGCCCTTTGTCAGTGTAGCTCAAAACAGATGATAATTTTTTTTAAAACCCTGCATCAGTGTTTACTTTGTTTTGTAGTGGTTTGAGTCCAGCCAATGACACTGGAGCCAAAAAGAAGAAAAAGAAACAAAAGAAGAAGAAAGAAAAAGGCAGTGAGACAGATTCAACCCAGGATCAGCCTGTGAAGGTAACAAGGAGACTCTGTTTTCTTGTGACAGGCCATTTTTCAGATGAGAGTGTTTTGAGGTAAATGTAGAGGAACACCTTACTGACAGTCTCTACCTGTATTACTTTAAGAAGCAAGAATTGGATCCCAGTGCTGTCCTCTGCTGCCCTACACCTAGGTGATGAAACGGTTCTCAGTTTCTTAAAACACAGAGCAGGTTAGACACTGACTTCTAAATGTGGTACCCATCAGAACTTAATAGGTGCATACTCCAAGTGTGCTGACCCAGGTGCTATGGAATAATGACTCTGTGATGGGCCTGTTGCTAGAGCAGTGGTGTTTAGCCCTTTCTGTCTTAGGTCTCCACCACTGTAAGAATAAAAGCCCTTTTCTTTTTTTTGAGAATTTTTAATATTTATTTTTTAGTTCTCTGCGAACACAACATCTTTGTTGGTATGTGGTGCTGAGGATCGAACCCGGGCCGCACGCATGCCAGGCGAGCGCGCTACAGCTTGAGCCATATCCCCAGCCCCAAAAAAGCCCTTTTCTTAAGGCAGACTTTTATTTATTTGCAAACCTTCTCACAGGTAGTCATTGTCTTATAAACCAGGAGTCCTGCAGAGTTTTTTCTGAGCTTCACTGTTGAAAACAGTGGCCTAGAGTATAAAACCTAAGACTGAAACCCTAGCATGAAACTCATAGAGATGGGAAAGGATAGTTTTATTCCTTAAATTAAAACAGTATTAACAAAGAAACCCTTTTATTTCAGGTAAATGTATTCTTCAAAAGTAGGTCTGGGGGAACAACTCAAGAAATACCCACAATGGGCTGGGGTTGTAGCTCAGTGGTAGAGCACTTGCCTCACATGTATGAAGCACTGGGTTCAGTTCTCAGTACTGCATATAAATAAATGAATAAAATAAAGGTCCTTCAACACTAAAAGATATTAAAAAAAAAAAGAAAGAAAGAAATATCCACAAGTGCCCTTTTAGAATTGCCTTAGAAACAGTATACAAGCTCAGAAGAAATCCAGTCTCATTTCCAGTATATCTGTACTTTGCTTTATGTTTCAAATATAAATCTTTTATCTTATGAAGACATGGCTTCTGGTAATTTTTTACTATTTCTAATGTCAAATTCACTGTGGAGGGATGGGATTGTAGCTTAGTGGTGGAGCACTTGCCTAGCATGTGTGAGGCACTTGGTTTGATTCTCAGCATCACATATAAATAAATAAAGTCCATGACAACTAAAAAAGTATTTTAAAAAAAAATTCACGGGGCTGGGGATGTGGCTCAAGCGGTAGCGCTCTCACCTGGCATGCGTGTGGCCCGGGTTCGATCCTCAGCACTACATACAAACAAAGATGTTGTGTCTGCCGATAACTAAAAAATAAATAATAAAAAATTCTCTCTCTCCCTCTCTCAGCACCACATACAAACAAAGATGTTGTGTCTGCCGATAACTAAAAAATAAATAATAAAAAATTCTCTCTCTCCCTCTCTCTCTCACTGTCTCTTTAAGAAAAAAAAAATCCACCATGGGGGGGGGCATCATTGTTGACCACCATGTCACTAGGCTTTTGCCATGAACCTCATTTAAATTAACCCCAAACCTTCATCATCCCTACAAGAGAAGTAGGAATCTTCCCATTTCAGACATGAGAGAAGTGACTTATCCCAGTCTTTCACTCAGGAATTCTCTAGCCCAAGCCTATGCTTTAGTTTAGGGATGTGTATCTCTCTGGGAGTGGGTGTTTGTGTGACTGCATGAATATTTGAGTTCAAGTCTATATTAAAGTAGTTCACCTAGCTGGGTCCAGTGGTTAAATGCCTGTAATCCCATCTGCTCAGGAGGCTGAGGTGGAGGATCACAAATTGGGGACCAGCCTCTGCAATTTAGTGTCTCAAAATATAAAGGACTGAGGATGTTGGCTGTACGGTTGATTGACCCTGGGTTTAATCCCCAATAGAAGTGTCAAGCATGGTGGTACACACCTGTAATCCCAGCAACCCAGGAGGCTGAGGCTGGAGGATCACGAGTCAAAGCCAGCCTCAGCAATTTAGCAAGGCCCTAAGCAACTTAGTGAGACCTTATCTCTAAATAAAATATAAAAARGGCTGGGCATGTGGCTCAGTGGTTAAGTATCCCAGAGTTCAATCCCCAGTACGGAGGAGGGGGAAAGAAAGAATGAACATTTGGTTAATCTATGTCTTCATCTAAAGATCTTTTTGGGGGGAGAGATGTTAAGAGATTGAATCAAGGGTCTTATCCCTGCTAAGCACACATCCTAACATTAAGCTTTACCCTGCTGTAAGACATAGTTTTAAGAGAACATTTTGTAGAATAATATATAATTCAAATTTGGTTTTTGAAAAGGATGTGTGTGTTTGGAACTTGCATGCAAAAAGTCTGGAATTATATTAGTATCTTCTTACCTCAGGATGACTGTTGTTCAAAATTATATTTGAAGGATGGGAGAGTTGGATTTTTACCTTTTATATGTTTTACACACCTTTGTATTGTTTAAAAATTTTCACTGAGCATGTAGTACATTTGCCATCAAACAACTCAAGACTTAGAAGGGGAGACACCGTAGGCAGCACCTCTTAGTTCATCATCAGCCACTCTTTCTCCAGTTGAACAATATTTTGACCTCCGGATTTAGGACAGAGGAACCACCCCTTTCTTTGAGTTGTACCACTTAACTCTTGAACTCATAATAAATCAGAAGTCTTACTAACACAATAGGTCTTTTCTCTCTCAAACTTTGTCTCTTTCCCAGATGAACTCTTTGCCAGCAGAGAGGATCCAGGAAATACAGAAGGCCATTGAACTATTCTCAGTGGGTCAAGGACCTGCCAAAACCATGGAGGAGGCTAGCAAGCGAAGCTACCAGTTTTGGGATACACAGCCTGTCCCTAAATTAGGTATGTGTGTGCTTTCTTTCCCAGGTGAGGGTGAAGAATGTGTCCTAGCTGTATTCCATGCTGAATTTGTGAGGGAGGGCAATATAGTCCTGGAGTTCCTTGGTGGTTATTTTTTGAGTCATTTTTTTTAAAGGAGTATAGAAATTATTGTTCAAAGAACTTATTGTTTCACAGCAGCACACACTGCGAAATATAATAATTATTTTAGTCCATCAATCATCATCCAGTATAAATCTACAAATAAAAGCAGTGTATTGGCACATGGTGAGTTGGGGATGTCTGCCCATGGGTAGTTTTGTGAGCTACTGTCTTATTCGTCTGGGCAAATGTGTAGTCCCAGAATGGAGAGTCTCCCCTCTCCTCCTCTTTTTCTTGTTGATGCACACTTACTTTTTTTTTTTTTTTTTTAATTTTTTGTTTAGAGAGAGAGAAGAGAGAGATGGAGAGAGAATTTCAACATTTTATTTTTCAGTTATTGGCGGACACGACATCTTTTTTGTATGTGGTGCTGAGGATCGAACCCGGGCCGTACGCATGCCAGGGGAGCGYGCTACCGCTTGAGCCACATCCCCAGCCCAATACACACTTACTTAATGTGACATTTTACTTAGCAGTGGTGGGTTAGCTTCTGTAATACTATATTTAAGTTTTATCAGCACCTCAGCAGTCATTTAAAAAGCTGTGATGAAGGCAAGCACAGTGACACAAACGTGTCATACCAGTGATTCGGGAAAGCTAACGCAGGAGGATCACAAGTTTGAGGCCAGCCTGGGCAGCTCAGCAAGACTCAGTCTCAAAAAGTTTTTGGAAGGGCTGGGGATAAAGCTTGGTGATTGAGTACCCCTGGGTTCAATGCCCAGTTTCATAAAAAAAAAAGTAAGTCACATTCTAACACTAAATGAAAGTGACCATCAGTTTGTATGTTACTACTGCCCTCCAGAAACACTGTGAGACTTGACAGTACATTCTTTGAAGAGGGGGTGAGCAAGGCCAGCCAAAGATTAAGAGGGAAGAAATGTGGCTGGACCCTAGGAGATTCAGCTGCTGAGGTAGGGAGCATACATACAGGTGCTTCTCAACTTAACGATGGATTATATCCAAATAAATCTATTATAAACTAAAGGTATCATGAGTCAAAAATGTACTGAATACACTTAACCTAACATCACAGCTTACACAGCTGGTTTATCAATAGATAGATGGAGGCTTACCATTCAAACACTGTGTAGTTTTTGTTGGTATTGTCAGTTGACAAGCATTTAATGAGTGTTCTTTATAAAATGCAGATCTGAAGATGTCACCCTAACCTCACCCCTCCTCTGGTACCCCTTTAAAAGCCCATTAAGAATATCTCAGGGCCCTAAGGATAAAGTGCAACCCCTGGAGTATGGGTCTTCCATGACTGGCCCTGCATTCTTCTCCAGCCTCATCTAATTCTAGTCCCTCTCCTTCATCTCCAGGCCCCCCACCCCAACTCCCCATAGAGGAGGGACAACTGGCCAGGGTGGAGATGTGTCAGAGGCTGACTTCCTGGCAGCACTGTGCATGCTCARTGATTCAGCCCAAAGGCACTTGTAGGATCTGACCACCGAGGGCCTGAGTTGGCAACAGCAGTTAACTGGCCCACAGTGCTGCAAGCCATGGGTGGCAGGGCCAGAATTGAGCCTGGCGCCTAAAAGCTATCATCTGGCTTTAGGAACGGGCCCAGTCCTTTGCTGTTGACACAAAGGCAGCCTTGTTGCAATGCCTTACAAATCAACTCAGTACTCTTTTCACCAACCAGGAGGCAGGAAGCCAGATTAGTAAAAGATAAATGTTTGTCATCCAGGAACCCAAGGGAGATTTAAAAGGATTTCCAAAAATGAGCCACCTTAGATCCCAGTAATTGTTTTGCCCTTCATTGGCCTTCAATTAAAGGCCAAGGGTAGCTGGAGGGGTGTGTTCAGTTGCCAAGCACAGAATGTTCTTCAGATGTAGGGCTTCTAGGGAGAAGAGGAATTTGCTTTGGTCACTTTTTGAGCTGAGCCCCTCCCTCACCTTCCGCTAAAGCCCACCCCGATAGGAGCAGAGGGCAAGGCTCATGACTGTTCTTCCAGGTGAAGTGGTGAACACCCATGGTCCTGTGGAACCTGACAAAGACAACATCCGCCAGGAGCCCTATACCTTGCCCCAGGGCTTCACCTGGGATGCCTTGGACCTGGGGGACCGTGGTGTGGTGAGTAGACCTGGGACCTGTGGGTAGGACAGTGATTATACAGGCTTTCCTGGAGACTCTTGGAACTGAGCCAAGGAGGGCTGAATAGAACCCTATCTCTTGTTTCCTAGGGCCTAACTAAGATTCCACATAAATAACACTTAGCATTTCTCACAAGTTGAAAGTTACCCTCTATGGTTCCCCAATGTCCTTTTTCTTTCTCTCTCTTTGTTTTTTGTTCATTCATTTCATTGTCTTATTCTTGTCTGTCTCTTTACCTGGGCTGCTGCCTGAAGAACTCTCCTTCCCTTTCCACCAGAGCTTCTCTTTTTTTTTTTTTTTTTATTGACTTTTTATTATGTGCATGATTATATTCTTTATTTTACTTTATTTATTTTTTTAATTTGTTCTAATTATATGTGACAGTAGAATGCATTTTGACACATTGTACACAGATGGAGCATAGCTTCTCATTGCTCTAGCTGAAAATGGTGCAGTCACACCAGTAGTGTAATCATACATGTATATAGGGTAATAATGTCTGTCTCATTCTATTGTCCTTCCCATCCCACAGCCCCACCCCACCCCTCACTGCCCTCTGCACAATCCAAAATTTCTTTATTCTTCTTTTTTTGACATGAGGAATTCTGTTTCCTCTGTAAAGAGAATGATGAAAATATATAAACAGATTTTTCTTTTCTTCTTCTTTTTTTTTTTTTTTTTTTTAAGACAGGGTCTTATATTTTTATCTGTGTGTGGTGGTGTTCACCTATAATCTTAGCAACTCAGGATGCTGAGGCAGGAAGATCCCAAGTGCAAGGTCATCCTGGGCAACATAACCAAACCCTGTCTCTAAAAGGCCTAGGGATGTAACTCAGTGGTAGGGCACCCATAAGTTTAATCCTCAGTGCCACACAAAGAGAGAGAGAAACAAAGACAGGGTCTTGCTCTATTGCTCAGGCTGAAGGTACAATGGCTATTCGCAGGCATAGTCCCACTGCTGACACCTAATGTGGACCCCCAGTCAGCATAGCACACTATAGCCTCCAGCTCCTGAGCCCAGGCTATCCTCCTGCATTAGCCTCCCAAGCAGCTGGAACTATAGGCAGCTCCATCGTGACCAATTCATGAACAGAATTTTTTTATAGCAAACTTGGGTCAACAGATAGAGACGGCAGCTGCTCAAGGCAGAAAAAAAAAAAAAAAGGTCAGAGGTATTTGATTGGGCACTAGACATGGTAAAAAAAAATTGGCAGTAACTCTCCTGGGAGTAATTCCTTAACCAACCCTGAGAATCATCTCTCCATAGCATTTTCACAAAGGTAAAGACCAATGGCTCCTCATTGTTGATAGATCAAATGATGGAACAGTCATTTGATTAGATAACATTATTGTCTGCCACTCTGTGTACTTAACTGTATGACTCCACACTTCAGTGATTCAGTTTCCCCTTACAACTTGTTCCAAAAGAGTCCCTGCCATGCCTGGGGTGAAAAGGATTTGTGAGATGAGAGGTTTCCGGTAGTTTTATGCATCCTTCTGTGAAGCTTAGAGCCACACACTATTGGAGTTGTCCCCCACCTGGCATCATACCTTGCAGTGAGCTCCTTATTTCTCTACAGCTGAAAGAACTATATACTCTACTGAATGAGAACTATGTGGAAGATGATGACAACATGTTCCGATTTGATTATTCCCCAGAGTTTCTTTTGTGGTGAGTTGTAAGGGCTTTCTTATGATTTTTTTTTTAATTTGTAAGCAATAGTAATTTATTTCTTGTGGTTCTAGAGGCCGAGAAGTCCAAGATCAAGGCATCAACATGTTTGATGTCTAGTGAAGGTCTGGTCTCTGTTCCAGAATCTCTTATAGTTCTCAAAGGCAAAGCAGAGAATAGAACAATCTCAGTGCACCAGAGTTTTTATCCCTGCCAAGAACTAACTTTTGAGTGGCAAATTACTGTGTTCTTCTTAAGTTCCTGATTTCAAAGGAGACTTGCTTTCAGTGGAGCTTAGAATTGAAACCTAATTTAAGATTGAGGGCTGGGGTTGTAGCTCAGTGGTCAAGGCTTACCTCACACGTGTGAGGCATTGGGTTCAATCCTCAGCACTACATAAAAATAAAAATAAAGATATTGTGTCCATCTACAACTAAAAAAAAAAAAAAAGATTGACTGGGTGAGGTAGATTTTTGTAGACGAAAAGATAATCTGCTGTATGATTACTTTAGGCAACAAGAGAAGGGTGAATGAGACTACTAAGATTTTTTTTTTTTAAAGGAGGATCATTTTCTATCCAGTTTCTGAGCATGCTCAATTGTATAAAAATGGCTTTGCCTGGCTGAGCTGTCTACCTGGCTGACCATGTTCAATATCCAGGAAGATAAATGCATGAGGCTGAACTAGAGAGGGATTGCCTACAAGGGGAGACAAAGGAAAAATGAACAAGCCGAAAGAGGAGCAGAGCCCRGAGGGAAAGTGAGAGTTCTAGGGGTACCACAGTCAGCTCCCAACCATGGCACTCACTGTCCTCTAAACTGAAGAGGCCATCCTCTGATTCAGGCTGTCATAATGAACACAAATCAGGCATGAAATCCTCAGTGTGACAGCCCTGGATTGGGTGAGTAAGGCCAAGTGGTTTGAGAGTGAGAAGTGGCTATGGCTTGATTCCGTTTGTGCCCTGGAAAGCTTGACCCTAAAAAGAATTCAGCTACTCATCTCTAGGGAGAAAGTAGCACCAGGGTAGAACCAAACATGCTGTGGAGCCCAAATAGCCATCCAGCTTGCCACAGGTAGCACCACAGCCCTAGCTCTTCTCTCTTTTCCAGGGCTCTACGGCCACCTGGCTGGCTCCCCCAGTGGCACTGCGGGGTTCGAGTGGTCTCAAGTCGGAAACTGGTTGGGTTCATTAGCGCCATCCCAGCAAACATCCACATCTATGACACGTAAGCACCAGCACCCATCCCCACCTGACCCCACCCCTACCATCTTAGTCTGAGTAGGAGGAGGAGAAAGCTACAGTTCTCCCATAAAGGGGAGAACCTAGACACCTGGCATGGAAACTCATTATAGGAACCATGTGTTTTGCTCTGAGTTGTGGCTGGGTCCCTTATCTATGATTTGGGCTGGAAAGAGCCCACCTGCTCCTGCACTCCAGCAGTCAACATGGTGATTTACCTGAACTGCTTCAGAAGTAAACCAAAGCCAGCATGACCCACATTGAAGTGGTCTTTGGAGCCTTCCAACTCTACTTTTTCTGGCACTATCACAACCAGTCTTCTGACTCAGAGTTGGAGGATTCTTGTGGGAATCAGAACCCTTGAGGTCCTAGAATAGCCTTGACTTCTCTGTGAGGTTCCCTGTGCTGCTTACCTGTGTGGTACAGGTGGAATTTTCAAGGCTGCTTTTGGGGATTCCAAGGGAGATGCTGGTGATGTCTTCTGATAGGGTGTTTGCTTGGCTCCCACTTTCCTTTGGAAGTGGAGTTTGTATAGAAACTGATGGAGTTGCAGGAGGGACCCCAGTACTAACCAAGTGAGGGTGGCCGCAGAATACACACCTGTGCTGAAGCCCCCTTCAGGTGTGGTTCCACATGCTTGAAAGAGTTGCCATGACTTTCCCCATTAAAAGCTTTGCTACCTACACTTCCCCTCCTCCTTCAGAGAGAAGAAGATGGTGGAGATCAACTTCCTGTGTGTCCACAAGAAGCTGCGCTCCAAGAGGGTGGCTCCAGTCCTGATCCGAGAGATAACCCGGCGGGTTCACCTAGAAGGCATTTTCCAAGCTGTTTATACTGCCGGGGTAGTGTTGCCAAAGCCTGTTGGCACCTGCAGGTAAAATTCTCTTCTTGCAAGATCCTAGAAATGTGGGTGCCCCAGCTCTAGTTGAGCTTTGTCAGATTCATYTCTGCTCCTTGTGTGTTCCAGGAGTATCTTGGGGCCCTAGTGTCTGATGTGATGGGGGTTGGGGAATACAGAGGAGTGAGAGGGGAGGTATAGGGATAGCAGACTGGAATGAAGAGTTAGCTATTCAGCTCCTGCTGGTTACTGCATTTAGAGATGAGGGGAGTCAGTCTGCTGGGAGTTTTTGTTTTTGTTTTGCAGTACTAGGATTGAGCCCAGGTGTGCTCTACCATTGAGCTATGTACCTCAGCGCTTTTTATCTTTTATTTTGAGAGAGGTCTTGCTAAGTTGTTGAGGCTGGCCTTGAGCTTGGAATCTTCCTGCCTCAGCCTTCCAGGTCTCTGGAATTATAGGTGTGTCCCCTTTTCCTGGCCATATTTTTGTTTTTGTTTTGTTTTGTACCAAGAGTTGACCCTAGGGACACTTTACCGCTGAGCTACATCACCAGCCCTTTTTCTTTCTTTATTTTAAGATAGAGCCTTGCTAAATTTCTGAGGCTAACCTTGAACTTGTGATCCCTTTGCCTCAGCCTCTTGAGTCGCTGGGATTACAGGTGTGTGCCCCCATGCCCAGCTTTCTTTTTGTTTTTAAGGAAGAGGCCAAACCTGGATTTTTAAGGAAAGTGTCCTAAAATTTTTTATTAGTTGGCTCAGTTTTGTTTTGAGTATTGTGTTAGCCAAAGAGAGCTTGTCTGATACCTTGCGATCCAAGGAGAACTCCGCCATAGAAAGTTCTTTGAAGTTAACAATGTCTGCCTAAAGAGCTAGAGAAGTGAAAATACCAGGTAAAGGTAGATGAGGAAAAAGGAAAAGGGCAAGCATGTGCCAGTTTTCTGGGCATGACTATGAATCTTTCCCATTGACTTGATTCCAGGAATGAGGATTGCTCTCCCCAGACAACTGCTGTTACAAAGGAATGACTTTTTAAATTGAGAAAGAAAAATAGGGAGAAAGAAAAGGTAGGAGGAGCTATGGCCRTTCTGCATCCTCTTGGAGAGGCTGGAACCTGTGCTAGCCCAACCCAAGTGGGGCCTGACTTGTCTCTCACGCCATCTGCTGGCCATCTGGAGGTCACCCTGCCACAGTTCTAATTGCACTGGCCAGAATCCCCTGAGGACAGGACATTTGTGTCCCCACAGGTACTGGCATCGGTCCCTAAACCCACGGAAGCTGATTGAAGTGAAGTTTTCCCACCTGAGCAGAAATATGACCATGCAGCGCACCATGAAGCTCTACCGACTGCCAGAGGCCAGTGGTACCCTGGGGTGGGCAGGGGCAGGAGAGCCTGGCCTTGGCAGGAAAGGAGCTGAGCTGGGGGGCAGCGGGGAGGGCTCTTCTTATCATAAAAGTGAGCCAGCCCATAGTCTTCAGATTTCCATTATTTCTGGGGTTTATCTTTTTGGTTTTTGTTTTTGCTGCTGGGGATTGAACCCAGGRGTGCTTTACCACTAAGCCACATCCACAGATCTTTTTATTTTTTATTTTGAGATACGGTCTCACTAAGTTGCTTAGGGCCCACTAAGTTGCCCAGGCTGGCCTTGAACTTGTGATTTTCCTACCTCTGCCTCCTGAGTAGCTGGACTTAACAGGCATGTGCCTCTGTGCCCAGCCTTAGCAAAGTTTTATTTTAGTTTGATTTTCTCAGTCCTCCTGAGTCTGTGCCTGGATTGGCTTCTGTGCCATGTGCTGATAGGCTTAGAGAACACCTATCCTGTATAATTTTAGCCTAAATGAAGCATAAATTGATCAGTCTACTTACCGATCCTTCATATTCATTGCACACATTCCAGACCCCAGCTCTTGAGTGTCCTTCCCTCTGCCAAATCAAGTAAAGGAGGGGTGATCTAAGCTTAAGGGAAACCCAGGATTTTTAATCCCAACACCCCCCGCCCATATTTGCCACTGAAGGACTGGGCAGCCTATTGCAAGTGAGTTTTCTATCCTGGGTCTGAATAGACCTGGTTTCCCAAAGAAACAAATGTTCCTGCCCTCCAGTTGTGCCTGGCTTCAGGATCCTGAATTCTTGAAACCCCTTCTCTTTCCTCAGAATGCTTCCAATCAGCTGTTAGTCTGCAAAAATTATTGAGAGCCTGTTTCTCAGAGTGCTGCCTACCTGAATTCATCAGCCACCAAATAGTRTTGATCATCCTTTCATGGAATTAGTCCACCACTGGATTGGGGTCATTAGTGTCCCCTCTTGAGAGACCACTGTGGTGTAGTTAGACACTGCCAAAAACAGATTTGAGGGCCATGGTAGGTGTCTTCTCCCCCCATTATGGCTGGTGTGCYCCGTGTTCCTGGCAGGCAGAGAGCAGCCAGGAGAATGTCTGGATCTCCCCACTTCACTGCAAGAACCTAGTGTGGCTGTAATTTCGGCTCAGTGWGTGAGGTGTCACTGTGGGAGCTGCCATGTAGAATGAGGTCGCTAAGTGTTCCCTAGAGAGATCAGGGCTACAAGCAGTTTTGGAGAGCAGAGGCCCAGAACTGAACTTTTAAAAGCAACTCCTGTCCTGGGAAGCAGTTGTACCACACAGCAATAGGCATATCAACCATAATTCCACCAGTTTTCACTTTGGCTAGATCACATCTTTGTGTATCGAACCTCTGGGGATGGTCTATCAGCTCCAATATTTGCTCCATAGGATCATGTGGTTTCCTTCCACTGAAGCATTTTTCAAGAAAAAGCATCTGTACAGTTGGGTGTGGTGGTGCACGCCTGTAATCCCAGTGACTCAGGAGGCTAAGGCAGGAGTATTGCAAGTTTGAGGCTAGCAGCTTAGCAAGGCCTTAAACAACTTAATGAGACCCTCTTTAAAAATAAAAATATAAAGGGCTGGGGATGTAGCTCAGTGGTAAAGCACCTCTRGGTTTAATCCCCAGTATCAAAAAATTTWAAAAAATTTTWAAAAACTATTTTTAAAGAAAAAGCATCTATAGGGTAGAATGATAGTYTGAGTTGAAAACCCTGGAGTTGGGTATTTTTTCTTCTGAGTTCATCTTGCAGCAGTGTCCTGCTTATATACTGCTGATGCTGTGGCCTCTGAGTGGCCAGACCAGGCTGGGCCCTAGGGTCTGTATGTGATGAGCTTTGTGTCTATAGAAGAGGGACAGTGAGGGTAGTAGGAAGATGGCAGCTGTGGTTCAGTGTGAGGAGGCATGGATGTTCAGAGGAGGGCTTCTTTGAGGCCTTGGAGCAGTACTGTCTTGTTCTAAGGGAGATAATGGAAGAGCCAGCCCCCAGCACATCCAGGGAGCCAACAGAGTTTCTCTCAATCATGTCAATTGTGGACATTTTGGACTGCGTAGTTCCTTGTCATGAGGATTGTCTTGTGCAGTGCAGGATATTTAATGGCATCTCTGACTTCTAGCCCCTAGATGTCAGTAGYATCTCAGTCATGACAACCAGAAATGTCACCAGATATTGGGGGCAACATTGCCTCCTTTGAGAACTGCTGGGCTAGATGGACGGAAGGTCTAGCCAGAGGGGCCAGCTGGCCTGGAAGGTGGAAGACTTTATGGGAAGTTTGTCATATTAGGAGGATAGCCTGGGGCCATGTGGATGACATACTGATGCAACAGCCTCAGCCTGGATGGCAGCCAGGACAAGATGGGAAAGGGCCAGAAGATCCTAAAAGGGCAGGACTTGGACCTGAATAGAAAGGCCCAGGGTATAAGGGGAGTTGCTGAGAATGACCAAGGAGTCTCTCTTGAGGGGCTGGGAGACAGACACATCTGATACTATCTCTTCATCTTCCTTCCAGACTCCCAAGACAGCTGGGCTGCGACCAATGGAAAAAAAGGACATTCCAGTAGTGCACCAGCTCCTCACAAGGTACTTGAAGCAGTTTCACCTCACGCCAGTCATGAGTCAGGAGGAGGTGGAGCACTGGTTCTACCCCCAGGAGAATATCATTGACACTTTCGTGGTGGAGGTGAGTTGGAAGCGGTTCCTAGAGAGGCAGTCCCTTGAAGCAGCCAGGTAGGTTCCCAGGGCCCAAGTTTTGGCACCTGAGGCTTCTTGAACCTTCCATGTTTGGTTCCCTTGAAATACAGGGCATTGTAGGTTGTTGTTCCTACAACCTCATCCACCCTGATGACAGAATAGCGCACCAAGCCCCTCTCGGTCAGTTAGAAGAGCCTCTGATTCCTTGCTTGTCCTTCTTAAAGTAGTGCAGTCTCGAGGATGTAGGCCACAAGAAGAGATCCCTGATGATGCCCAGCAGGCAAGGAGAGCCAGTAGTTCAGCCCACAGTCCAGCCTGGTTCTGTCCTCACGATCCCTCAGCCAAATGCTTCCTCTCGTGCATATCCTGTTCCATTTTCCACTCATTCAGCTAGAGGGGCAGGGCTGCCTGAAGGTAGTGTGCGTGTAATGGAGAACGTATTGTTTCTGGGCCACGGTGTCACTGTGCATGTATGACACTGCCTCTTTTTATTGTCTTCCCTTCAGAATGCAAATGGCGAGGTGACAGATTTCCTGAGTTTTTATACACTTCCCTCCACCATCATGAACCATCCAACCCACAAGAGTCTAAAAGCTGCATATTCCTTCTACAACGTCCACACCCAGACCCCTCTTCTAGACCTCATGAGTGATGCCCTTGTTCTAGCCAAAATGGTGAGGAACAGACCAGAGGGTCTTGGGAGATCCTGGGGGGAGGGCAGTGAAACAGTGGTGAGCATAGCTCCCTGGAGCTTGCTGCATCTGGGTTGGGAGGCTTTGAGCCCCTTCACCTTCCTCTTAAGTGGGGTGCTAGCAGTTTTCAAGCTCAAAATTCAAAATTAGGAGGGAATCAGATGTGTCTGAAATGGGGGCACTGAACTCCTGTGAGTTTCATTTTTGTAGCTGGTGCCAATAGCCAGCCTGCTYTGGGATAGTGGGATTCTTCTAGCTTTCCCAGTGTGGGAAGGGCAGAATGGGCTCCTCCTGAGCAGGTGATTGGAATAGCTGACTGGCGAGCGTGGGTAATAGGTAGTCATTGGCTCTCAGTCTTGTGGTACCAGTGCCCTCCTGCACCGAGCCCAGCCCCTACACCAAGGGAGCTTCCAATCAGTGAAATTGGGGAAGTGAGTCCTCACCAGCTTAAAGGAGCACTGAGGTATCATACCATCACTGTGTGTACCTGAGCCTAAGAGTCTGATAGCCAGAGAGTAAGGAAGCTGATACAAGCCAGCTTCCCAGAGGAAGGGGCTCTGAGCTTGGTTTCCAGAGAGGACTGTGGAAATTACTGGAGTGTTTTCGGGGAGGCATAGCAGGAGAAGTGGCCTGGACACTGAGTATGCTGTGAATACTCAGAGGGACAACTGAATAGAGGCCATATTGAGGGTGCCATTAAGACTGTCTTGGAAAGCACACCTGGAGAGCCAGGCRCTAGCTGCAGTTTGGATCTAATCCAAAAAACAGCCAGAGATTCTGACAGAATCCTATTCTGTGGCTATTTCTAGAACTTTTTTGGAGGTGAGGGGTGGGGAGGTACTGAGGATTAAACCCAGTGTGCTAAACCACTCAGCCATATCCCCAGCCATTTTTATTTTTGTTTTGAGACAGGGCCTCACTAAGTTGCTGAGGCCGGCCTTGAACTTGGGATCCTCCTGCCTCAGCTTCCTGAGTGGCTGGCATTACAGGCAGGCTGTAATTTGCCTAGCTCTAGAACAGTTTTGTTTTTGTTTTTTAATATTTTTAGTTGTAGATGGATACAATACCTTTATTTTGTTTATTTAGTTGGTTTTTTTGTTTGTTTGTTTGTTTTTTTAATGTGGTGCTGGGGGTTGAACCCAGTGCCTCATGCACACTAGGCAAGTGCTCTACCACTGAGCCACAACCCCAGCCCTCTAAAACAGTTTTGAGGCGACAGCAGAGTGGGTAGGAAAGTAGGCAGCCTTGCTCTGTCCTCACCTGTTCTCATTTCTCCTGTCACCCTGAAGAAAGGGTTCGACGTGTTCAATGCACTGGATCTCATGGAGAATAAAACGTTCCTGGAGAAACTCAAGTTTGGCATAGGGGATGGCAACCTGCAGTATTATCTCTACAATTGGAAGTGCCCCAGCATGGGGGCCGAGAAGGTATGTGTGGTGTAGCCACATGTGGACTGCCAATTAGGTAGCTAGTGCGTCCAGCAGGAACAGGCCCATAAATCTGAGATGTGGCATCGGTCAGGGTCCTTGTCAGCTAGTTTTTGGGCCCTTGAAACATCTGTTCCTTCTGATAGCCATACCAGCAGGTCAGTGTTCCCCTCTCAGTGATTGGTGAGAATGGCAGGGGGCCAGGCCCTAGAGCCTCATTGGATCAGGAGGGTCATCTGTGGTGTCTCTCCCAGCCAGCTGGACCATCTGGCTGGCTGGGGCAGGGTGTTCTGCACCATCCAAGAAAACCATGAAAGTGGAGTTTCCCATGGAGGTTAGGGTCTGTTGATCGGCTGTCCTGTTCTGGGCTGCCACCCTTGCCCCTCTTTAGCCCTTTGTCCTCCAGTTCCTCTGGGAAGCTCAGGGGCATGGGTATGGTCAGCATTTACAAAAAACTGTCCTGTGAGCTGGAGGGAGCYTTTGGTCCAGTGTTCCTCAGGAAACCACATCACTGGAAGGATCTGATAGAAATGGAAGCCTGGTGCTGAGCCTGGGTGAGAGTCCTTGGCTTCGTGTAAGCCCTCAAATGGCACAGGCCATGCTCTGTGGCCTCAGTGGGCCAGAACTTCAGGACAGTGGGGAGGCAGGAGAGTCCTGGGCACTGTCAACTCAATTCTGCCTCTCCCTGTTGACTCCTAGGTCGGGCTGGTGTTACAGTAACCAGTCGCCAGTGAGATTCTGGATAAAGCCACTGAGAATTCAAACCAGGAAATGGAACCCTACCACTTGTTGGTCTAATTTTCACAAACGTGAGAATCCCTGGCAAAGGGAACAGAACTGAACCGGCTTTACGAAACCGCCAGTGAACTTGACAATTGTATTGCAATGGCGTAGGCTGCGTGAAGTCACTTCTGGCCGTGTCTCTGGTCTCCCTGTTTTCCACTTAATCACATCCTCATGCAGCCGTGATCAAGGGAATGTAACTGCTGAAAACTAGCTTGCGATTGGCATATTATGGAGTTAACGGGTGAATAATAAAAGTATATATATATTATATATATATAAATATTTTAAATATCTTTCATGTTCCAAATGTGCGAGGATGTTTGGTCTCTAATGAAAAGCTGAATCCAGTCATTCCTTAAAATTAGAACCCAGGGACAGTGGCAGACAGACATGTTGGCACAGTTTCTTCCTTCAGAGGCTTTTTTTGGGGGAGCAGGAAAAAGAGGATCTGGGGAACTTTATTCCATTTCCCTTTGGAATCAGCTACAGTGACTGACTGGCTTGAGCAGGGAGGGAAGGTGAAGGGACTCTGCCAGCTTTAGAGGACTCGTATGTCATAGGCTGACAGGTGCAGCTGGGTGAAGCTGTGTTCTAATACTGAGCAGTGGGGACAATCATGAAAGCAGGTTTCATTCATTGAGTCCCTTCTTCCCTCCCCTTGACCTGCTCCCTGTAGGAGATCATCCTGTCAAGTATTTAAAAGAGCTCTTGTTGCCGCCTTGCAGGGATGCATCCCCTGTGAGACTTTGCCTTTCTATGACTGGGGTGACTGGCAGTTTGAAGGGGACCTTAAACCTCCTTGTAGTGTCTGGGACTTGGTAGAGACCATATCAGTGCAAACCGTGCTTAGCTCATCTCAGAGAGCCAAGAGTAAGCACCCTGCTGTCCCCAGGGTGGCTGGGCAGGGATGGCATGGGGCCAATACCCAGACTCCTTCAGCCACCAGCCCCTGGCCTGTGCCTTCTTCAGCCCACTAGCCATTTCTTGCTGTGTCTTTTTTAGGACACACAACCTACAGTGGCAGCAAGAGGTGGTGATTAGAGACAGATATTGGCCACAGAAATGGTTTCCATGTAGCCATTGTCTGAGTCTAATTTTCACTGATGCTATTTTGTGGATTTTTGTGGTGGTTGTGATAGATGTTGCCAGTTTCTCCAAAAGTGATCAAGCCCCTGGTCACATGGCTGTCCACGTAGACATTCTTCAGTGGTGTTGAGCCAAGTGGCCTTTGGAAGATTGGGCTGTGGAACCGTCAGCAGCCCACATCTAGTTTCCACATAAATTGCTCTAGGAAAAAGTCCTGAGTAGACAGCATAATGTGTGGCAGGGGGATTTCTTGCTGCTTTCACCTCTTGGCCTCTTGTAGGGAGCCTTAGCCAGGAGCCAGACTTAGCGTCAGTGCACAAACTGAAGCCATTCTGTAGGATAACAGAGGTTTGCTTCAAGCCATGGGTTTTTGTGTGGTTTGCCAGAACCTAATTCTGCAGAGTCTCCAAAACTGGAGGAAATTGTTTGCTGGGGATGGGAGCTGTACCACCGTGGGAGTGCCGTCTGCTCTCTGCAGACTACTGCTGCAGTTCCACTGTGGTGGATTTTTATCAGGTTTCTAGGGGCTCCCTTCTTCCCACTATCCTGTGCTGCAAACTGCAGGCACCAGCGAAAGTGGCTGACCTTTGACTCCTTGACTCCAAGATACCCAGACCAAAGAAGCTGCCATTCTTGGCGTGAAGCATACTGAATCTCACAGACAGGAGGAGTCGGAGAGGTGGAGGCTTGCCTTCCAGACTTGCAGACAGTAGACACAGTGCCCCAAGTACCAGAGCAGTTAACCCTGATCAGACCCCTCAGAAGTCAAAGAACAAAGTATTCAGGTCTTTCCTACCTAGAGGAGACTTAGAATGTTGGAAAGATGCCCTGTCTTAATCTTGATCAGTTCTGAGCCAAGTCAGCTCAAGTTGCCCCTAAGATTTGGAGTACACAAATCTTGAGTGAGCTTTGCTTTGGTTGACCTGGTCATGGAATGGGAATATTGAGTCCCCAGTGGCTGCTCTGGAAGAAACAGATCTCTTGGCAAAGACTCCAGCTTCTCCCTCCCCAAAACCAGGTCACTTGCTCCTGGGACTCGGCTGTTTTCCCCTGGTGGGGACCTCTCCAGGTCTGCAGGAGACAGCTCAGGGCTACTGTTGAGTTTCATTTCTGATTAAACTTAGACCCTGGGTTCTTCACTCAACCCCTTCTGGAATTTGAGGCCAGGGAGCATCATCATCAGAAGAGAGGGTTCAGGACCTCCTATAGGAGCCTTGGTGGCACCATGACTGACTTGAACCAAACAAGGGAAGAACAGCGCCTCCAAGCTGACCTGCTCAGGCAGCCATGTTGGAAAACCTCTCTGGACCTTCTGCCACCTAGTCCTCCTGGCTGCCATATTCTGAAGATGACCTTTACCTCCTGTCACTGGACTGACTCTATTTGACCTTGGACTCCGACTCTGTAGGGAGAGAGCCGGATAGAAAGGAGGCCTTAACTCTGGATTGGGGCCTACATAAGGCTCATTTTCCCCACATGTGCCTGTTTCTGAAGATGCTAATGTCTGRAGGCTGGCCCACACCAAGCTACTCCAACACCCTTTTTTAATGGAAAATTTCAGGCCTTGCCTACAACTAACTGCCACTGCCTACAACTTACTGGATCTCTGAAGTCCAAAGGCAGATATCTCATGGTCTATAATTCTCTCCCCAAAGATGACGAGCATTTAATTAACCTGAGGCCTTGGACAGTTTCATAGAACTGTGATCTAGGACTGTCAGGTCAGGGAAGGAGGCAGGAGTGTCTCTTGGAGGCAGCCTTCTTGAGGCCTGGCTTCCCTGCCCCAGAATCAGGGAGACTCAAGGCCTCACTTTTGCCTAGCAGTAAAGCAAAGGCAGGCCTACAAATAGACTGTACCAGGGCGAGGCTATTTAGGACAGTTTCATTTAATTAAACTCAAAAACATTGACTGGCTGGCAGGCAGGGCTGCATCTGGGAACAGAGAGGGCAAGCTTCACCTTTTTGTCTTGGTTTTTCTTGGGCTGTAGGGGGCATCCATTTCTGGGGTTGAGAGGAAATACCAAATGCATTGTTGTTCTGCTCAGTACATCTCACTTGTTTCTAATAAAGGAAGCAGCTGAATAAATCGATCTGCCCTCCTGGTATTCCTCTGGTCAGCAGGTGGCAGTAAAACAGATGAATCATGGGGCTGGGCTAGAGCAAGGGTGATAATAAAGGCCCCCAGGAACCATGATACTAGGCCAGGTTTGGAAGACCTTCTTCCAGCACATACTTGGCTCTTCTCACCACTAGAGAGGAACCAGGACAGAGCCAGGTTCTCCAGAGGAGTAACGGCATAAGAGCATCAAGCAGTTTGGTAGTCAGTCAGAGTGGCTTCTCACAGGAGGATACAGGCACTACACCCTGCCAGAATGTCAGGATACCACATCCCCTCATGGGACACAAGCTGAGTGGCTCTATTGAGCTATGAGGGGCATGCCTCCCCAACTCTGGTGTTGCTAGGGATGAAACCCAGGGCCTTACTCATGCTGGATAGGAGCTCTACCACTGAGCCCACCAGGGATGCTTTTTATTTTTATTTTTTAAATTTTTTTAATCTTATTTTTTAGTTATTGGACACAGCATCATTGTTTGTATATGGTGCTGAGGATCAAACCCTGGCCGCATGCATGCCAGGCGAGCGCGCTACCACTTGAGCCACATCCCCAGCCCCAGGGATGCTTTTTAAATGTGACATTGCTAGGACCCAAGAACTGCTTTTAGAATTCCCCATCCCATCCCCCAGTTCTTTTCCTTTGGAGCTTTTCCATTCCCTCATCCCATGATCTTCTCCAGCTCCCCATGGCTGTTATCTCCAAGTTCTTTCCAGGGAACTGAGAAGACATAAGAGCTGCCTAACCCTCATTCCTATGCCCTTACCTTGTATCCCAGGCCTTGCCCATGATCAAGTCACTCTGTTTCTCCAATGCTCATCCCTTATTCCTGCCCTGAGCTTTGGCTAGAATACAGCCCTATGGGTGGTCTCCAGGGACTTCCAAGAATAAAGTTGATTTCAGCCAGGCACTGTGGTGCATGCCTATAATCCCAGTGGCTCAGGAGGCTAAGTCAGGAGGATCATGAGTTCAAAGCCAGCCTCAGCAATGGTGATGCATTTAGCAACTCAGTGAGACCCTGTCTCTAAATAAGACACAAAATAGGCTGGGGATTTAGCCCAATGGTTGAATACCCCTGCCACCCAAAAAAAGAGTAAAGCTGATTTCTTCTTTGCTTCCACCATTCATATTTGTTCAGTTCCTGTCACCTTCCTAGTCTTAGGGACTGGCCCTTTCAATGCGGTTTCCCAGTTCTGGGCTCTTGTCCTAGCTGTCAACCCTTCCTTTTGCAATACCAAACCAGAAACAAGAAGCAGGATGGGGACCCAGCCCTGGGCCTGTGCATGCCAGGCCCTGAACAGAACTGTCCCTATAGACCAAACTAGATTTGGCGCCCTGGGTTGTAAGTTGGCCATCTGGCCTTCCTGACAGTTGTGTGCACCAGTCCCTGGGCTGCCTGGCCCATCCATTCTGGGCACCTTCAGATTCTGGTCATCCTCTTTCAGATACTCCAATTTATCAGAACCAAACTCCTCTCCTATTAAGAACCAGGAGCAGGCTGGGCATGGTGGCATACACCTGTAATCCCAGTGACTTGGAAGCTGAGGCAGGAAGATCACAAGTTCGAGGCCAGCCTCAGCAGTTAGGGAGGGCCTAAGCAACTTAGTGAAATCCTGTCTCAAAATGAAAAATAAAAAGGGCTGGGGATGTGGCCCAGTGGTAAAGTATGGGGGCACTCCTGGGGTTGAAGGGAGGTAGAGACTGGCCTAGCCTTGGGTTTTGGTTCCTATAGGCCTTGGGGCCAATTCAAGGCCTGGCCCAGCCCACCCTGTGGAAACCACCTTCCTGACTGCCCTTGTCCGGTACTGGTGATGTTGCCTGGTGGAAACTAAAATACCACAGCTCCATGGTCCCATAAACTCCTTCTTTTGACAGGCGTGAGCCCCAGGTTTTCTCTGGATCCWGACCTCCGGTATATTGCTTCCTCTCCCAGCATTGTTACAGAGGTGGCCTAGAGTGCTGCCACTTTCCACGCTTTCATTTGTGAGGCYGTTTGCCTGTTCTTGGGGTGTGCTCAACTGAGCAGATGGGTCCTGAACCCAACTGAGCCTGGAAAGTGGGGTTCCCTCA